GTCTCCGTCTGGGTTCGAAGCATGGTAGACAACACCATCGAAATCGGCAAATTTAGCATCCACATTGTCCGGTTTTCCACTGAAATATTTATACACCTTGGTTGTAAATGTGAGCAAATCAGCCACCTCTCCAAACTGAGAAGCTCAAGTCAAAAAGTGCTCAATTTTGCAACTATGAGTAACTACAAACAAGTCCGTACCCTTCTTTTGCGTTGGTGAATTTGAGATCCAACAACTCGCTGATGATCCTGTTGTTCTGCTCTAGTAAAATCATGTCTGCGAGCACCCAGTACTGAGGCTATAGTTCTGAAGAAATAATTGAAGAAATGGAAGATTTTGAGCTGACAAGAGAATTAAACGAAGAAGTTCACAAAAATATGAATGCGCAGGAGATTACTAAGCCTATGACGTCAGCCGTTTTTGTGCACTTTTACGTGTGTGCACACCAATCACGCCTATTTTCTTATTTGAACTCTATTTCGTTTCTCCATATGAAAGCTTTCTTTCGGATTTTTCTCATTTTTACCGCTAAAATTAGTACTTTCAGAGGTCGAGACGCATATTGGGCGTGTACTCCAATTGGTACCTGAAGCAAATTCAGTATTGAAATATGCCGGAATACCATCCCGGTCATGGCCATCGCGAACGAGACGGTGGTGATCCACGGAATCGGTTCAGATTTATGCGACCTGGTCAGTGTTCATTTGGAGACTATTTCGAGTTACTACGAAGGAGTTCTCTTGCTCCATCGCGATATTAGTGAAGTGCCAGAAAAAACCCTTAAACTTTCTGGCACCATTGCACTATAACAACCTCAGTGGAGGTGATTTGTTATAACTTTTTTTTTGCTGAAACATTGATGTGGGGGTTGGAAGGGGGAGCGTTGAGGCTCCTAGTCACGAATATTACATTCATTGGCGCCTTTGGGATCCAGGAGGTGCTCATGGAAGTTTACGTACGACTTGAACTTTTCTCAATTGTCCTGCCGCGAATGGTAAGACCGCCGTCACAGTCCGCGACGGACAAACGATGGAGCGATCGCGATCGCTCCATCGCTTGTCCGTCGTCGAGTGTGACGGCGAGTCTAAGATTTTCGGACGCCCCCCCCGGGGGGCGCTTGCTTTTGGCTCTTTCCCAAGAGAAATTAGAGCCTAAGACTAGGCCCTTGGGAGGGAGATAGGATATCTAGTGGGATGGAGTGATGCGATTCTGGTGTGGCAAGGTGTGATATGGTGATCACAGTAGCCGTGAGCCGCTGGTGTAGGTAAGAGAGCGCGGCGGGAGCATTCAATTTGAGTGCGTTTTTGAGGATGGTTCGTAGCCGGTTGACCAAGATGGGTATGCCACCCAACACTGTGGTGAATCTGAGTTTGAGATCTAAGGATGGGAGCTCCTTATTTCTGAACATTTCTCGTGCGAGAGGGACACACAGAAGTAAAACGGTGCTATCGTGCTAGGCACCATCAAAAATGAATTTTAAAGGAGGCGATTACGATAATGAGGGAGCACATCGGGGACGTACATGCCACACGCAAAGTAGTTACTTTGCTGCCAACGAAGTGAGGTGTGGAGCTTTTCACGACGGAAGGCTGCGCTGGTTGCTGAGCAGGGCTTCGAAAGCACCCTCGCCCCCAAAGCGATACGCCACTTAGTTTAGTTGGTGATTTGGACGAGCTCGTTGCCAGCAGCGGCACAACTGGAGCATGTGATTGTACCGTGATTTAGCATGGGTGGGGCGGGGGGGCGGGGCGGGGGCGCGCGGGGCGGGGGGAGGGGGGGGCGGGACATCCAACCAATGTTCAGCATGGCGCGTGTGATAATGGCTGTATACGTCCACTTGTCTTGAGTTATTATGTGTTCACGAGTGAAAGAGAATGAGCAGAGTGTGGGTCCCGTTTTGGATTCTTTGGAGGGATTCTGGCTTTTTGGCCGCGTCGTGTACCGTTGTTAGCACATCACGCCACTTAAACCTTTCTGAGTACTATCGTAATCGCTGCCTTTGAAAATGGACATCTTGATAGGCACCAATTACCGCTATATCTGAGTCTATAACAAATTCGGTGAGAACAAGTGTTGCGTCTAAGTGGTGAAATTGACAGCAGCCGAAGAAATTGAATTCGGATTGTCGTCAGAGCTTTTGTGTCCCATAAGGGATAAAGTTCCAGCATATTGTAATGATGCAAGTTTGAGTTGACGTTGATTCTGTGATCGCGGAACTATCGCTGTCTTGGGCGTAAGTCGATTGAGGTGGAGGTGGAAAATATAAGGGAAGGAGGCGTATTGTTTTTGGGCTATCTTTCTGATTGCTTCTCGAATGACGAATTAGGTTTGAGAGACTCCGGTTTAAGATTTGTAAAGGTGGAGAATAGATGTTTCGATAAAATTTAGCGTTTATAGACGAAAATGTCCCATGGTTTAGATGATCAACCGGCCAAAGGACAGCGTGTTACGGTCTTTGGTTATTCTGGGTGGGATCGCATAACTGAGCCATCTGGGTCGACTGATCCTCAGGAAGTGTTAACCGTATACAACAATCCTTATGCCTCCCTAAATATGAAGCAACAACGGGCTCGGCTTCCAATTTACAAGGTGAGCATTTGCCAATCCTAGTTGAAGTTTACAAGGTCGTGAAATTTGTGTGCCAGTGCTGGTGCAGTTGATATTTTTTCCTACTGTTTTTTGCCTCTTTTCCTTTTTGCCTTCTTCCGACTCTGGTTTGTTTTCATTACACCGATTCCCCCACCGTCAGCCGCATGGCCTTTTCCTTTTTCTGCTTATGGTTTACCGCTCGCTCTGTTCACTTTCAATTCTAAATCAACATCGTGTTCGAGGGAGACTTTTATGAACAATAATGGTGATTTATTTGACAAGGGCCTTATTGCAGCCAAGACGCTACCTTACAATGACATCTCAACACTGATTTGGACCTTAGATCTGCAAGCAGTTGGTTTTTTCTCTGCCTTCTCCCCTCCTTTCCCCCTGCCCTTCAGTGCCTACTGCAAAACAGTGGAATGGCTGAGAATGGGCTCAGGGTGTTGATATACCTTTTGTAGGTGTTATCCCAACCTTGCAATCGTGTCCCATTGATACCGCGAGATTTGCGTGCTCTACATTTTGTCAGCGGTTAGTATATCCTCATTTTCTGACATGAGAACGACATTTTGCGGACGGACAAATAGGCGAAATATTATACTCACGTTGGTACGCACTGACAAACCAACACACCAAGGATGTGGTTTATAAACATAATGAAATGAAGTGATATGGTGCGATGAGAACGACGCAGCTAATGAATTTCGTTCGTTATCTCATGTAGGATGGCGACTTCGGGGTGGATCAGTGCTAAATAACGACCACACGTTAACAACAACTCTTCATAACTCGGGCAAGGCCAAACCCTTTTGGGGATCACTTCTACTAATTGTTCGGTAGAGATAGTCGATTATCCTGCTCGATTTATAATAAATGCGGTGAAAATTAAGCCAAGTTTCTTGTTTTCATGACCGCAAATTTGTTAGTTTGAATTTCCGTAGCCTTTTGACAGTGCAGTAAAGCTAACCATAAGGTCAGTATTGAGATCATTCTTTTTTTCAGAACCGAGATCATATCCTATACCTATGTGAGAAGTATAGGACCGTTATTATCGTAGGTGAGACGGGTTGCGGAAAAAGTACTCAGGTAACTTAATTGTTTTCTGAAAGATTTTGATGGCTCGGCCGATTTCGAATTCAACTACCAAGACTACTTTCTTTAGGTCCCGCAATACCTCTTAGAGGCAGGATGGGCCAATGATGGCCGAATGATCGGAATCACCCAACCTCGAAGAGTGGCTGTTGTTACGGTATGTTAAGAAGTTTCAATCGTCTTTTTCTCTTTTCTTCTCTTCTTGGTTTATATTCTTGTTGTGAATGTAACACAGAATGTACAAAACCGTTGTTTTGATTTTTTTCATCAATTTCTTACAGTTAGCTGCACGTGTTGCTGAGGAGAAAGAGACTATTCTCGGACAAGACGTGGGCTACACAGTCCGTTTTGACGATGTCACTGATGACCAAACAAAGATTAAGGTTGTTTGACTTACTAATACATAGTTGATTATGAGGGCATCGCGAGGAAACTTTCATCGTTTTGTAATAGGCAGCTGAAGAAGTAGCTTAGTTATGCCCGTGTAGGTAAACATCCTTTCGCGGTAAATGCCCATGTCATTCCAAGGCGACCTCTCCGCTCGCTTTCGCTGCTTCCAAGAATTGGCGACTACATTCATGGTATAACGGCAATCTTTCCCTCTGGGCACTGTAGATGTCTGATTTTGATAGTTTAGCGAATTCTGCACTTAAGCTGTTTGCTTGTGTTTTCTAAAATAGTTAACTTTCTTGCCTAATTGTTAGGGAACAAAATTAAAGCTCGATATAGCGTTTTGTACGCGGTGGTTTGTTGTTGCTGACCAAGAGTTACCTCATTAAAAATTATACTTTCAGTATATGACTGATGGAATCCTTCTGAGAGAGTTACTGACAGATCCTTTGCTTTCAAAATATAGGTTAGTTCTTTAGTATTTCTGGGATCGGCTTAGGGAGAAAAGTATGCGTTTCAGTGTTATAATGATCGATGAGGCCCATGAACGGACTTGCAACTCTGATATTCTGCTTGGTCTGCTTCGAAAAGTGCTCATTGTTCGGCCTGATTTACGCATTGTAGTGTCATCAGCAACGCTCGATGCTGAGGTATGAGAGGTTGCAATAATTGTCAGTTTAGCTGACGTTTGTTTTCCGGCAACGTACCCGTTCATTGTATTACTGTGGTGTTTTCAGCTTTTTCGAGACTTCTTTGAGCTGAATGAAAGCGATGACCATAACCTCGATACCTCGTGTATAATGTCTGTGGAAGGGCGAACGCATCCAGTTACGATATACCATACAAAGACGTGAGCGTTTTTATTTTCGATGAACAGTACGACTTTGCATCCTATCGAAATAGTTCAGATTTATGTTTCATCATCTGTTATCAGGGGTTCATATTTCATGATTTCTTTCTAGCAAAAGGGTTATATTTGGGTTAGAAGTTATCTGTCACATCCTGTTACGGTAAAACACTTTAACGTGCGGAGCCCTTATATGTCGCAGGTGTATGCTGCTGGAAATTGTAGTCTATGACCGCTCATGATATTTATGAAGAGTGGTTGTGCCTCTTTTTTGCGCTGGGATGCGTAGAGGGCTCATTTGTTGTACTGTTTCTAGCCATTTGAGAAACCCCCATTAACCCCTGCAGGTGCAACAGTTTTGTGGTTATGCCTCAGTTTTGTACACATATTAGGTTAATTCCAGGTCAGTGCCGAATTATATCAAAGCCACGGTGGATACTGTGCTGGATATTCACAAAAATGAGATTCCAGGCGATATTCTTGTATTTCTTACGGGTCAAGAAGAGGTTATTCAGGTAAGATCTTTTTTTTTCGAGTATGTATGAAAGGGAAAACACATAGATGTTCTTATGCAAACTAGACTGAAA